TATAAATAGCCATGTATTCATCCTCTTTTCATAAGCAATAAATAAATCTTTTCTGCAGCCTTTGAGCAGCAACTTGGAGGGAGGAACCCCTATAGAGTTCCAAGGAGGCCTATCCCCTAAAGAGATCAACCTCAAGTTTAGAATCTGTAAGGGTTCTAACATCTAACTATTTAGTAAAGTGGTTCTAACATCTAACTCTTAGTATTCTCTATGTGATTCTGCATCTTTGTTTTGCTATTTTTTTCCTCACCGCTGTTGGAACATTTCTTTTAAAATCTTTTTGTTATATTTGTTACTTCTTGTTTTCTCTTTCTCCCTTGTTTGTATCAGAGCCGTAATGACTAGGGCATACTTCATTCCGTTCACTACAGATGCTCTTTTGTGTCATTTTTTCCTCTTTGGTGTATGCAATCTTTGGTGTGCCATTTTATTAGTTTGAAGGACATTTAGTTAATGGACTTTGATATTGACTCACAAATATCCATAGCTATTGCTGTGAATTGAACCATTTGATCAGTTTGCTCTGATGACAAAGAATGAATTTCTGGATGGCTTTGTTGGAAGCTTAGAGCTTTTTTGCTTGCTTTATTGTAATATGCATGCGGATAAACTGCAAATCTGTTATACTTATTAGCTGTAATGGATGAATGGACGTGAAGTTAAGTGTTGGTTGAAGGTAGAATGCAGTATCTTGTGATTATTGAGTATGAACAGTAGAAACACAAGTTCTAATCAATTTGGCAACTTCTGCTGGTAACGTTTCATTATTGTTTTCAAGGTAGTTTGAACAAGCTTTTATGATGCACTTTTCAAAACGTGTGTTGATTGTGTATATTTATTTATTTTTAAATGAGCTTTTGGAATTTTTTGGATATTTTGTCATCTAAGAGCTCACATGATTGTTCTTGCAAATCTTTTTCTTCTTTGTTATTCGTCTGATTGTTGTCATCTGAAAATTTCATAATACTTGCAGCAGGTAATTTAACTCTGGTTCCTACAACTGAAATAGTGGACTTTACTGGTAAATTACTGTCAGATTCACTGATAAAGCTTTATAGAAATAACTTGAAGATGCCAGCATTAATATTAGATGACAAGGAGAAGACATACAGCAGGTTTGTTACACAAAATGGATTAATAGAAGATCCTCTTATTTTTGAGAAGGAAAGAGCAACGATAAACCCATGGTCACAGGATGAAAAAGTAGTTTTCATGGAGATGCTTGCAAAGTATGGTAAAGATTTTGCTAGGATTTCTTTGTCTCTGAACCACAAAACAACAGCAGACTGCATTGAATTTTATTATAAGAACCATAAATCAGAGAGTTTCAAAGAAGTGAAGAAATGCTTGGATCTCAGAAAGCAGCAGCAGTGCTTACGAGCCAACACCTACCTTGTAGCATCAGGAAACAAGTGGAATCATGAAATAAGTTGTGTTTCTCCTGATAGGTTGGCTTCAGCTCCGATTGCAGTAGCACATGGTCATGGTACTGCAAGGAGTGAAAAGAATATCGGAAGTGTTGTTTATGGGACCTACAATGATGTGAAAGTGCCTTACTTAGAAGGGGCGAACAGTGTTAATATTTCAGGTGAAGAAAGGGAATCTGTAGCTGCTGATGTGTTAGCAGGCATTCGTGGTGCTCTGTTCTCAGAGGCAATGAGCTCATGTGATACCAGCTCCATTGATCCTTCTGAGAAGATGAACTGCATTACAGCAGACCGACTGCTGACACCAGAAATTACTCAAAACCTAGATGAGGATGACTGCTCCGATGAGGGTAGTGGAGAACTGGACTCAGCTGATTGGACAGATGATGAGAAATCTATATTTGTCCAGGCTTTGAGCATGTATGGCAAAGATTTCACCAGGATCTCAAGCTGTATGAGAAGATCAAGGGAGCAATGCAAGATCTTCTTCAGTAAGGCTCGAAAGTGCCTTGGTCTTGATGTCATTCTCCAAGGCACTGTCAATGCGGGGATGCCATTGAGTGACACAAATGGTGGAAGGAGTGACACAGATGACGCCTGTGTTGCTGAGATGAATTCTGCTATCTGCAGTACCCAATCTTGTTCAAAAATGGGTGTGGACGCCTCCCAGTCTGTAGCTAACATTAGCTATGAAGGGATTGCTCATGTTGCAAGCACCCATTTCCATGTTGAAACTGATAGATCAAATAAAGAGGATGAGGATGTATCGGCAGGACCAGATCTGGATGGTGGGGGAGAAAAGGTCGACACCAAGTATGTATCTACAATTCATGATGATGAGCTAGTAGGGGAGGCAGATAATCTTCAATCTGATGCATGTCCAAAGGAAAGCATTGTTGATGCACTGGGAGGTACTAAAGCTGCACAACTTTGTAAGGTTACAGATTCAGCTGATACAGAAACAAAAGTTGGGAGAATTGCTAATATTATTTCTCCAACTAAATCGGTTGTTACAATCCGAAAAACTGACCCTGTTGCTATAGCATGTATGGATGGACAGTCAAAACAATTAACCGCTAGCATTGTTCACAAAACAGGTACCGATGGAAGTTATCCTGCTGATGGCTTGAAGGAAGTAGATTCAAAAGCATCACCAACCACTGAGGTCGGGTTATCAAATAAAAAATCGATAAACAATAACTTCACAGCAATTGGCAATGGCTCTCTTAACACTGTACCAGATTCTAATGCAAGTGGGGCTCCCTTGCTCTCAGGAAACAAGGTTAATGTTTGTCATCGTCTGACCTTTGGCCCCAACTATCAGCAGCAGATGCAACTGGATCTACTCCCATGTGTACCTAAGAAACACCAGACTGTCTTGTTAAAGCAGGAGGATGTCCATTCTATACCACTGAATTCATTCTTGCCAGATCCATCTTCCGTTTGTTTTGGGGGCCCAATTGATGTGTCATCCGAAACTACTTTGAACTTTGAGGAGCATGGGAGTAAGTGGCACCAGAACATGGTAAAAAGAGATATATACCAGCAGTATATAACCAGAAACCTGCCAGTGAACCAAGTCGACCATAACATGCATATTCTGAGAGGTTATCCACTGCAGGCATTGAATCAGGAGGTCAAGAGAGAAACTGACCTTCCAGCAGGTGAGAAGCGAAGTCTGCTTGAAACTGAATCCAAGAGATGTGGAGTGTCTCAGTCGAATCAGTTTTTCATGTCAGACATGCACTGGAATAAAAGTGATCCTTCGCATTCTAGGTCTAGTATGTCATGTCCATCGAGGAGCGAAAATCATTCGGAAGCTGAGCTTAGAACTTGTGTCAAGAATGCTTGCTCTGAGATTGAGGAACACCGAACTGGCGATGTGAAGCTGTTTGGTAAAATTCTTAGTCACACATGTTCTTTGCAGAAATCCGGCACTTCCTCCCATGAAAGCAATGTACCTTCATCACCGAAGTTGGACGGTTGTTCAACTGCAAATTCTTCCTGTATTGTTAAAGATGGTAATCGACTTGTCTCGGATGTTGGTAATGGCCAAGTAGGCCTGGAGGATCCTCCTGCAAGAACTTATGGCTTCTGGGATGGGAAGAGAGTACAGAATGGGAATCCATCATTGCCAGATACAACAGCTATGTTGGCAAAGTACCAAGGATCGCTCGCAGGCGTCTCATTTTATTCCACCAAAGATGCTATTCCAATTCGGAATGGGGTTGTAACAGACTATCCACAGTCTTGTATGCAGCAGTTGTCGTCAGACGGAAAGCGGATAGAGAACATCCCTGAGCTGCAGAAGAGGAATGCGATTGGGATTGTTTCAGGGTTTCAACAGCAAGGTAGGGTAACTCCTCTGGGTGCCAACATGATGGGGGGAGGAGGGATCTTGGTCGGTGGTGGAGGGGTCTCAGACCCTGTTGCGGCCCTTAAGATGCATTATGCCGCTAGGGCCAGCGTAGGTAGCACTGATATGATGGAGTCATGGCGGGGAGACATGGGAGGCAGGTAGCACGAGACGGGGCTTTTGATTAAATAGAAGGATGGACGGTAGGGGGTGATTGCCGGGGGGGTTCTAGAATCAGGGTGGCCATATAGGTTGGTGGTTGATAGATGCAGTTTCCACGTCTGTTTGTATCATATTTACCTTTTGTAATTTGAATGAAAACAACAGGGAGGGGGGAGTGGATTTGATGTTCCGTCCATAATCTCTTGGGCTTGGTTGATCTCCTTCTTTCCTCCCTGGACGGGATGGGGTTTTGAATGAGATGGGTCTGTTCTGTTCCATCATCTTTTGTTGCCCACGTCCCGATGCAACATCGGTTGCACCCTGGATTGGGTTTAAATATTATTAGCCTTTTTTTAGCCCAAAGAAAAAAAAAAAAGAGTCTCGAATCAGTCAGATTTATTTTCCTTCATGCGCTGATGTTATATGCGATTCCAGTTGATAAGAGTAGGGCGATGTGATCTACGAGCGAGGATGAGCGACTGCTTGCCATTCTTACTCTTCGGCACAGCTTCATATAGAGTTCCAGGTAATGCTCTCTCTCGTGATATTTTCTTACGACTGCTCTCATTTTGTTTTTGTTCTTAATGAATAAGCGACGTGTTATGGTACCTCAAATGGAACGAGGTGCGTTTCATTCTGTGTTTTGATAACACGTTCTTATATAAGATTTGATTACACGTTTCCTGTCTTCCTACTATTAACTATTTTGAGTGTTTTATGTTGTTGCATTGTAAATCTAAATCTGATTGCAAAAAAGAAAAAAAAGTCAATGATACTGAAGCTATGTTATGTGAAGTGCAGTGCCTATGACGCAATACTTCCGAATGTCAAATGATGCTTTTTAGACAGTTCTGAATGTATGTTTCACCCCCAAGTTTAAGTTATCATCACCATGCAAATGACTCCCGTATCCCTGCCGTAGGAGTCGTTTGTCTGTAACAAAGGAGATAGATCCATAAACTTCGCTACCAAAAAATCTTGGTGACTCCTGAAGGATCAGGATAGCATCTCCATGCTGGCTGCTTAAAGCCTGAAAGCTGTTGGTAGAGGAGAAATCAAGTAGAATAATTCTTGCGTCTAATGAATACCAACTCGGAGAAAACATATAAACCACACCAGCATAGAATCGACAAAACTACAGTAACAGTCTACAAACATAACTCACACCAATAAATCAAATCAATCTTTTGTCCTCAAATTTCTAAAGGTTTGCAAATGTACCCAGTTAATCTGCTACAATCAGCATCCTCAAATTTCTCACGCTAAACCCCTGTAAAAAGAGAGCATATTTGAAGCCGCCGAGCAACTCTGTAGCTTAGTTAAAGCTAATAGAAAATAATGGAAAATGTGGACCGAAAACATGATGGCCTTCGGAACTACTAGTAAGATAAAACCATAATGACAACATTACCAAATTCTTCTTTTGCAAGGTGTAGACAGTAGGAAAATATTTCCACAATGTCTTTTTAACTTCAATGTATACATCAACAGAAGTCGAAGGACTTGACTTCCACTGCAGAACTAAAATCAAATTGTGGATGCTAAGTTTCATATACACAAAGCAAACCTCCACGGTATTATTTCTGATCTTTAAAGTGAATAAAATAAATAAATAACACAATGAAGGTGTTCCTTGTGAGTAAAAGCACTTTCTTGTGGATACAATCAAGGGGGTTCTTGAGGTTACCTGACTGGTGATAATAATAGAATGATGATAACAAGGAACTCAGTGGATTTTAACCCTACGAATGAGAAGAGTGATTTCACCATAAAGCTGAGCATCTGAACCCAATATAAACCAAAAAGTTCGTGGCAACCACAATTTTTTTTTACAAAGGTTTCTTCTCTTCCTATTTTGTTGACTTAAACCACAGGCTTTCTAAGAAGTGTACAACCCCAACACTATCCAAGTTTGACCTTAGCATAATATCATCAAAGAACTAATAATCAAGCAACCTATTTTGGCTTACATGGTTTCCTTAAACGAGTTCATGAGATGCTAAACAAATATAAGACAACAACATGATGCAGAAATCCACAAACAAGCACAATATAACTGCAATTTGTGTCCTGCTATACTAAATAAATCTTAAACAGTATACCAAAACAGTAAAGAAACAGAACTTGATTACCCATTCTGATGTCTAAAATTTGTCATTTTTTGGTTTACTTGATATGATGGATGACAAAAAGGGCATGCATAAGATACAAAAAAAGGGGAATAATGCTTAATGAAAAAACTCTGAAAAAAAGAGATCAGTTTGCTTACTAAGCATCAGTCTCTCTGTTTTTGCTTGTATCCTGACAGCTCCTGTTTCTTCTACCGACGCCATGGTTACTCCTTGCTGCATTGTTAGCTGAGGCTTTGGACATTTCTTGAGTCACCACTGAGCCCACCACCATGTCTTTGCCAGTGGAAAGGCAAGATTTTGCAGTCTCAATCTTTCCGGGCGAAGAACTTACACGCTTATTACTGCTGCAACAGATGTTGGTAGCATCGCCACATTTATTCCCAGTTAAGGTGTCGATCGATGCACTGTCGATCAGCTCCATATTCCCAAATTTTTCTTCATCACCATAATTGGCTTTCGCTTCAGCTGCATCATGCAGACTCTTATCGGCTGCTATGCCATCGACATCGTCATGTTCTGAGCATCCATCCTTTTCGGCTAGAGAAACATGACCTCGATCAAGATTACATAGATCAACATCAGGTTCATCCATTGAACCGTTCATTTCAGCTAAGAGAGAATTATTCTGAATGAGATCGCACGAGTCAGAATCCAATCCTCCCTTCCCCAGTCCATAAGCCCGAGACAGATCAACCCACGCGGATTCCATTGAATTAACTTGATGTCGCGTCACGTAATCTCTGAGCTCGATTCGAAGCCTATGTAACGGCTGACAAGGGGAACAGATGGGATCTATGATATAGAAGCAAATAAAGCGAAGGTTTCGAGATCATTGGGGAAAGCGAACCTGGGCACGGCATTCCAACGCGAGGCGGAAGAAAGCGGCGGAAACAAAGTGCTTCCCTGTGGACTCCGCCAACCTTATCTGCGCGAGCCAGTACGTCGACGACTCGAGCTGGTCGTACTTGCACTTGCTGCAATTCAGGGCACTGAGGTACGGCGTGCCTGCAACGGTGGGCTTGGTCGAAGACGTTGGTGTGCCGACCGCCTCTTGGTGTTCATCTTTTCTGCTGGTTTTGGTGACTGCTGCTGTCTTTGTTTCTTGAATACAGACTGCGCGTATCTTTCTAGTACCAGTTGGTGGTTGTGGTGGTGGTGGTGGCGCTGCTGCGAGAACTTTCCGGGGCTTGGCGGTGAGGTGAGGCTTCTCGACGGGAACATTCGTGCTCCTCGCGACGCCAAAAGCACGCTTCGGCCTGAAAAGATCGCACGAGCAATCGATCGCATAAACTGTGGCAGGGAGCGAAGGAGTGTTCGCGAGACTAGGGTTACTTGCCTCGGTTGAGCGGCGGTGACGAACTGCCATGGGGGTTTCTTGGGAGCCTTGACCCCGTCGCCATTCTTTACTTCGGAAGACTTTGCGCCCGTTCTGCGCTTCCCTGAAACAGCAACCGGATCAGCACAAATGCCGTGTGAGTTGAATTGGGCACTACGGAGGTAGAGAAGAGGGTAGAAAGATGCGATTACCAGGGAAGACGGCGGGCTGAGCGTCCATGGCGAGTGAGGGGAGATGGGTGGGAGAGCGGGAGTCGAGGACGGGGAGAGATGAAAATGGTAAAAAGGGCGGGAGATTTGAATTCTTTTGAATCAGGGAAATGCTACTCCGAGATGGCGCTTCTTGACCCCCAAAAGTTTCCCCAACAAATCACACCCTAAGAAGGATTCATCGAGCCGAGAAGCCATCGCAATGTGCTAAGCAAGGGGTATTCAGAAAAGAAGTATTCTAATGATTCATTTCATTTTCTCGTCTCAATTATAAAAATACAAAAGATAAAAAATAAAATTGCATATAAAAATGGAATTTATAAATTTAATAACCTTATATTTAAAATTTTGTTAGTTAGCTTTCATTATCCTATTAGTTGAAATTTCAATTGGCATTCATGTCATTAGAAATTAACTAATTATAATTACGTTGTTTTATTCTTTAAATTTGTAAGTTTGTATTAACCATAATAAAAATAACTAATCTGTATTCCAAAAATGTATGACACCTATTAAAATTCATAAAGATAAATATGTTAATTTAAATGTTGACTATCATCCAAGTCCTCTCAAGAGAATCGATATATCATGCTAAATTGATTAATTCATCTTGTTATAAAGATGTCAGTTGACTTAATTCGTAAAAACATTTTTAATCATATAGTAAGATTTTGAGATCAAATTTCATCTTTATAATTTATCCTTCACATAAAAAGAATTATCTTTTGTTTCCTAACTAAATGATTAGGGTATTGATGTGTTATAAATTGAGAACCTTCTCATAGCTGATAACGTCGTATCCAAATCTCCTTTTTGCATTGCAGTAGCCGCCATCCTCTGTTTCTCTTATCTTGCTTTTAATAGCCGCCATCAATATCTTCGGTGTCGGTTGCTATACATGTCATGATGATAAGAAACAGCCATACGAAGTTATCAGCATCAAATGTGAAAGAGAGCTGGCATCAACAATGTGGAAGGCCTAATCAAGTCAATGTCTTCGTCACCATCATCCTCACCATCTGTAGTTATATAAAATTATTATGTTAGGAACTAACAGTAAATAAGATAGTATCAAAACAGTAAACCTAATCCACAAGATAACAATACAGGATATCGAGTACCATGCCCCGAAGATATTAACTGGCTTAGTAGATCACTAAAAGGTCCTGATATCAAATTCTTGATAAAAACTTTTGACTCATTGCATGATCTGAACTTAAATCATGTCATCATCACTTATTCTTTATTATATACATACATATATATATATTGCATATTTATAAACAAAAAAGGTACAATCCTTCCACCAAATTACGACATGATGAAGCCCAATAAAACTTCATTACAATAACAAACCTAACTTTCCATGTCAAATGGAAAGGAAGGATGTTGATAGCTCAACCAAGTTCAGGAAAGCTAAGTGAAGTGGGTTCAAGTGAAAGGAAGTTAAACCATCTGAATCGAGAGAGTAGGAAATTATTGGTTAGGTTACCTTGGATGTAAAACAACAGCCTTGAAGTGGATTCCATACATCAATAGCTAACTAGCAGTCAAATGAACAGCAATTCCACTATAATGAACATCATGCTCTCGAGTATAAAGGATCGATTATGACCATCACAAGTCCAGACCCAACCAAAGAGGGGGTAGGTTAGCTGAAGCATCAGTCTCTGATATAGACAAAGACAGAGAATAAACCAAATAAAATTCTAATCATGTGTTTGCTACCAAAGTTTACAGAGAGATGCAACATGAAGAATACGAATATAGGGAAAAAGGAGACAAAATGTATAAGGAGATGTCAGAAGTTCAAGAGCAACCCCATTATAGGAAACATACAAGAAAGAAGTGTCATTAAATGCATCGAGTGGGTGCTATCTGTCAAATACAGAAGGATTATTCCTCCAAAACCAGAAAGAAAAAAAAAATCCAGTCTAGCAAAAAGAAGTTCATTTGTGACTTCACCTGATGGTTGATTAAGCCTCACAAAGTTGACACAGGTCCACAGTATCATTAAAAAGCCAAAAAGAGAGAGTGACACTAGAGATGAGCCAGAAGGTCTAAAGCAGGTTTAGCATGACAACTGACATCTCTTTAGAGCTAATGATAAACATGGCCTTTGAGACCAATATATTATGCTCTCCTAGAATCTCTTTTCGTTTCACTAAGAAGAAAATTTATCAAATATTTTCTAGAACCAAAATGAGGCTTTTGTTGGTATGTGAAAGGATGGTAAATCAGGTGAGGAGTATTCAGCTCCAACAAAGATATAATAGAGCTGGTAACATCAAATCGTCTCACAACTAGAAGAATTGCAAGGAAAAAGTATGAAGCTATCACAGAATAAACAAAGGCAATCCATGCATATTTAGTTAAAAAATCTCATAAAAATACAGTAATAAACATCAGAAAAACAGGCTATTTCATGAACATAATAGAAAAAGACTAAACTAGCCTCTGGAAACCCACATGCATGTTGATGTTGAAATATTGGAACTGTGGAGCGGGCATATACAGCAAGAAAACTGAAAAAATTACAAGATCATAGCATGAGAAAAACCTGGTGCTCCAGATTCACTTCATCGTAGGGTTGAATCTACTAAGTTGTGAGTTTCCAAGACATTTCACCATGCCATGCAAGATGACTTAATACTTCTCATGCACAAACACCTGAAAGAACAATATAAAGATCGAATTGCTTTATGAAAAATTCAACACTGCTTTAGAAATATAACACTGATTCCGTCTCAAAGCCTGTTCAAATGGTAAGTTAAAAAGCCAACAATTGCAGTTTTCTGAAGTATTGGGGCAGATGAGTCAAACTAACCTGTGAGAACTTTTGGTTTGGTCAGATCTACAGTAACTTTTGGTTTGGTCAGATCGCAAAGGAACAATCTTCCAATAGCACCAAGTCTTTCCCTTTAATTATGAGTCTTAAATCTAACAATATCATGTTCTCAATCATCATTTACCATGTTATAAGCCTTAATTATATCTACTTCTTTTTTTAGAATATATAATTAGTTAATCATTGAAAATTCTATCATGTTTCAGTCTCTATTCAACCAACTTCGGCTTTGGCCAATACAACCAATATCGGATGAGTGAATTGAACAAAGACTACAACTCTATAATGCGTAGTAGGATCGAAGAAAGAGACTAACCGAGTATGTTATTTCAAGCATTTCATCAAACAGGTAGCGGCTGCGCCGGCAAGCTCCCGCATTCATACCAGACCTCGAAATCATTCTCCACCTCATTAGCAGCATCCTCCTCTCCCAATCTCCTCGATCCGCACATCAGAAACTCAAACAAGAACTCCCTTTTCCGCCACCATTAAAGGCCTAACGAACCGAGAAATTCCCTTGGTATCCTCCGAGGAGATCCACCCATCGTCACCCTGTAGCAGATCGGTGGCCACGCATCAATTTCATCCCAAAATCTGCACCTCGCCAAGGTGGTGATCATCTCGGCGTGGAGGGCGAGGTCGTGCCGGTACCACGGCTCCCGGCGGTCGGTGCCGAAGGCTTTCACGGTTAGGCGCCACTGATTTCGGCGCTGAAGCTCCGCCAGGACGGCCAGGAGGTCGACCTTCATGAGGCGGGCAAGGTCAGAGGAGACGATGCTGGGCTCATTGCCGGAGGCTGCGTCGCGTTTCAGGGCCTTTACGGCGAGGATGGCCTCCGTGCTCAGGGTCCGGTTGCCGCGGGGGCCGCAGGTGAGAGCCGGCGAGAGACCGCGTGGATCTATGGCTCGGGCAGAGAAGTGGCAGTTGAGGGCAGTCGTCGGCTAGGCGCGTGGTTGAGAAGGATGGCGACACCATGGGATGTCGACTGTTCCGCCGGCTTTCTTTATCGTGGGGTTTGGGGCTCGTGAAGTAATTATATCGAACGGCGATGCATAAGAGTGTGAAAGGAGATCGACCGGTGCAGACTGTTTGATGTAATCATACTTATAGCCCAAACAGGTCAAAATATCTTATCATTATATATCATTAAAGATAATATGTTGTATAAATAGTGAAAAAAAATGGTTAACGTCCTAATTTGCCTAATGTGTCCTATGTATGCGTAAGAATATTCGAGATACTTCCGATATAATAATATCAAGCTCTCGAGTTACCACATATATAAATACCAAGATTTTTAACTCAATCCTTTCGACGTCCAAGTTAGTAACCCGAGATATATGTGTATAGAAGCGAATGGTAAAAAAAAATTATATCATTTTCATTATGTTGAAGATGAGTTTTTATACCTGGTCGCAAATGAGCTAAATATTTCATAAAATATAATATTGTGAGATAACCTTTAACTATCTCCAATAACATCTTATTGATCTTTTATCCATGCGAGCGATAAAGGGGAGGGGGCCCGGGTAAGCAATCTATAATCACTTGTCTTGAACCCTTATCCACATTGGCAGACGTGTGGAGGGTGGCTTCCGTCTTCTCATTCTACCATGGACACCACGTGGCGATCACGTGTCGAATAACAATTAACTGATGATGATGATGTACTCCTTATCATTGAGTTGGGAGAAGCTATGAGATAATTTATATACTTCGATGAGGTGCTTTGCCATGGTTGCATCTTAAGTCTCATAGTTCCTCTTTACTTGGTTCACGATTAGTTGTGAGACGTTGAATACTATCAAGCCCTGGACTTGAAGCTCCTAAGTGAGTCGAAACCTCAGAATAAGTGCCTCATACTCGGCTTCATTGTTGGAGATTTTAAACTCGAATCGAAGAGCTTGCACATACATTTATTTATTTAGGCTCTTCAGACGAATCTAGCACTGCCTCTATTTGAGGTGGTGGAACCGTCAATGAAACATTCATGCGGGTGAAGTGTGCTTATCAACCTCAAGTTAAGGAGTTAGTTCTGAGACAATGTCTGTCAATGCTTCGGCTTTTATAATAGTCCTCGAAGGTGGATGTGTCCATACGTGAAAATGTGACTGTTGTCCACCTTAGGTGAAAGTATTATGAGCTAGAGGCAAAGTCTTCTTATTTGAGCATTCATTGAGAAGGTCGGTAATCGGATGTTCCTACAACTTCGGGCCCTCCTAGCACCGAAACTATCGAGAAAAGAAGTCGTTGACGCCTAGTCAACTCAACGGACTCATATACGCAGGATTGTATAAGATGCCTCCGATGTGGAAACATCGAGTTCTCAAGGTACCATATGCACAAATTAGTAATACGATCCATTTGACACTCAAATTAGTAACCCAAGATATATGAATGTGGATGTAAGTGGTAAAAAAGGTGATCCCATTTTTCATTATGTTGAATATGAGCTTTCATATCTTGACATAAATTAGCTAAATATTCCATAAAATATTACATAGAAAGGTAACTTCTAACCGTCTCCCCTTGGCCTCTTATCCATGCAGGTAACAAGTGGGCAAAGGGAGTGGTGGCAATGGCAACTCATAATTATTTGCTTTGGACCCTTACCTATGTGGGCAGACGAGTAGAGGGTAACCTCCATCTTCTTTTTTCACCTTGAATATCACATGATGATCACATGTCAGATGACAATTGATTGACGGTATACTTCTTATTAATAAATATTATATTTAAATCATATACTCATTAAAAAAAATAAAATATTATTATTTTCTTGTGATATTTAGGTTTAATCTCACATAAGATATAAAAAAATATAGACTAACCTATAATAACTATACAAGTTCGTTTGAGTTTAGATATTTTGGACCAGTCAACCACACTATTAAATTCGAATTGGACCGTAACAATTACTATCATCCTACTAATATTTAATCTTGCATTAAATAATTATAATGGTTTAATTTTAGCTTAACCTTAAGAACTTCAAAGAGATTTCACAAAGATATGATACCTATTGTGAGGCGGCAAAGATTCACCCACTGTCATGCTTATGTGCTATAGTTCAATAATTACTTTTGAAATTTAAATTAATATTTTTATCAATATAATTTATAGAACTTTGATTAATTATATTACTTTTAATCATTTCCATTATGGCATGTGCATTGCATGGTTTATTCCTACTTTCTCTATAAATTTTATGTTTATGGCTACCTTCACCACCATCAATTTATCAACCACACAAAAATAAATAAATAAATAAATATGTGTGTGAATTATATATATATATATATATATATATATATATATATATATATATATATGAATGAGACAAAACAAGAAGAAGAAAAAGAAGAGAAAAGCAGATGGAAAGCAGCCAAAGGGATATTAAAAGAAGCCAAAGGGATAAATTAAAGAGAGAAGAAGACAAAAAAATGGAACACATAACATATTACACGGAAATAAATGCAAACTGGTCACCAACCACACCTTCTCAACAACCATCATTTCTATATAGCATATGTTTGGTCATTTTCACTACGGGCATTCCAATTCTTCAATCATACTTTGGGCATCTGCCCATCCTGTTTGTTCTCTTGTTTGCACCTAAACGTCACGTAAATGTCTTTTTCGAGAGAGAGAGAGAGAGAGGGGCTCACCGACAGTCGCGAGTGGAAGAACTTGACACAAACTGACCTCAAATAAAGAATTGAGATGAGAATTACGTACATGGCAAACTTTATTATACTTCAATCGGTTCATTTGTCGCATCAACCCCTCCTATCGAATTAAGAAATATGCATCGTTATTTTTAGATGATTAGCCTTTTAGAAATATACATCAAACAAGATGGACTTTTGAGGTGTTTTATATTTATTTATAGGTAAATTCGAACTTAAATCACTTATCCTTTATTTTGTAAGTTTTTTGCTGCATTCATTCCTAATATAGGGATAATAACATAAACAATATCTCATTTGTCATGTATATGATCGACACCTAAATACCTCATATAATCGATATTATTATGTCGTACAACCAATATCTCAATATTACATGATCGACATTTTAACATCCCACGTAACCGATATCGTTATACGACTAACACCTCAGCACCACACGACCGAATTCACTCTAAGAAAACTTCAAAACTCTCCTTTCGACATCTCTCTCTCTCTTAAAATGCTACATAAATATAGTAGTCGAGTCGAATCCTCTGGATCCTTAAACACGTGAGAAGAATTATCGAGAACATCTCGATACAATCTTGTAAGGTTCATTATTATCAGAGTCGGACGAATTTGGTATCAAACCGAAACCGATGCCGAAGAAGAATCTCTGACTCTGAATCAATATCCAATTCCGACAAATATGATGTGAACATGGACCAATTAAGATACCATAACAAACGAATTAGAACGGAGGCAACTCCTACGGGCAGACTGTCTCCTTCCTTGCTGGTTGCTACTAAATACCACCTCTCAGTTCTCACTTCCCGTCGCTGTCCTTCACGCACGTTTCTTCTCTGCCGAATTCGTCGCTGTGCCCAACATATCTAATTCACTGGGCAGATCGAACATAATACAATGGTCGAAGAGTCACTGTCTTCAACCCTACACCACAAGTTTAAAGATCGATGTGCCTAATCCTATCCGGTCAAAACATCAGCTAAGTTGAGTGAATGCATGAATTCTACGGAATGTAACAGAATCGATGCGTAGCAGGAAACAATTATCACAAACTAATCGAGTTATTACATGTATATGTACTGTATTTGGTGAATTTTGTAGAGATTACCACCGCACGGTGTGCCTATGTCCCTTCTCCGCCGCCGCCGCCGCCGCCGCCGCCGCAGGCTCGTAGTGTGCTCGTTAGAGAAGATGAAGAGGATGATGACATGGAGAGGTTGAGTCCCATGGCGTTGTAGTCGGAAACGCTGTCTTGTAGACTGAGCAGTAAATGTTGATTGGTGCTGAAGCTCATTGATGGCTTTGCCACCGGCACGAATGGCGGGTCGGCTTCGCCGCTCAGCATTTGGACCACGTTCCGCATCCCCGGCCTCGTCATCGGGTCCGGGCTGGAGCATGCCAGCCCGACGAGCAGCGCTCGCCGCATCTCTCCCTCCTCGAATTCCCCGTCCAATCGCCGGTCCACAGTGTCCAGTATCCTTCCTTCCCCATGCAGCCCCCACACCCATTCGACCAGATTACTGCACCTCCTGGTGCTGCTGCCGGCGCCGCCTGCGATGCGGTTGTTGTCGCCGTCGCCGTCGATCGGGCGGCGGCCGCAAGCCACTTCGAGCACGACCGCGCCGAAGCTGAAGACGTCGGTCTTCTCGGTGGCACGACCCGTGAGCAGGTATTCGGGCGCGAGGTAACCCATCGTGCCGGCGGTGACGGTGGCGTCCGGCGACTTGTCGTGCTCGACCTGGCGCGCTAGTCCGAAGTCTCCGAGCCTGGCGTGGTAGTCCTCGTCGAGCATCACATTGCTCGACTTGACGTCGCGGTGGATCACCTGGTTCTCGCACTCGCGGTGGAGGTAGGCGAGGGCGGAAGCCACCCCGATGAGTATCTTCTTGCGGTGCCGCCACCCCAAAGGCGGCGCCTTTGGATCGAACAGAGCCTTGTCGAGACTTCCGTGGATCATGTAGTCGTAGACCAAGAGGATCTCCCCCTTCTCGTGGCACCAACCTTGTAGGCGAACTAAATTCCTGTGCCGTAGACCGGCAATGATGGAGAGCTCAGAGAGGAACTCCGCCCTCGCCTGCTGCCCGCCGCTGTCGCTCCCGTTCTGGATGCACCTCTTGACGGCCACCATCGCGCCCGTCTCCGGGATGATCCCTTTGTAGACGGTGCCGAAGGCGCCGTGGCCAATGATACGAGATGAGTCGAAGCCTCGAGTGGCAACGACGAGCTCTCTGTAGCTGAACTCTCTCGGGGAGTTGACGATCTCCGACGTCGCCGCCAAGTGTTCCCATTTTTTGGGTGACTTTGTCCTCCGGGTGAAGACCCAGAAGCCCAAGCCGGCAACTGCCGCGACGACGAAGGCGCTGGCCGTCGCCACCCCAGCGACCGCGGCTGGGCCCTGGCGACAAAGCCCGTTGTTCTGGCAGGACGAGGTCGAGGAGGGCCGCACAGTTCCTTCGCTGGGGCTTTCGGCGGCTACAGGGACAGGGGCGGAAGGGGGTAAGGAAGGCGGCGATGGGCCAAAGAATGGGAAGACTAGGGTTGCAGGAGGCGGAGGCGCTGTCGTCGTCGTGGACGGTGGGGAGGCGCCGAGAGAAGGTGAGGAGAAGCTCCACCATTCGACGCTGTGGATCTCGGTGCTTCCCTGGGTGGATCCGGAGAAGCCAACAAACGCGAAATCGTCGACGTACCGGCCGAGATCGACCGGGAAAGAGAGGACGGGATCGGCGGGGCGAACGGTGGAGTAGGAAACGAAGACCTGAAGCATCCACCCTGCGGCGCCGCCGCCGTACTCGATCCAGGCGTTGATGAGGTCGCCGCTCTTCAGGTCAATCCCGACGGAGTCCAGGTCGGCGACTTGCGCGGAGACCAAGCTGCCGAGGTTCACCCCTACGTGGTTGTCGTTGATGTCCTCGAACTCGACGTCCATGCGCGTGTCGAACTCGACCGCGACGACGGAGGCGCGGCCGGGGGCGGCGCTGGCGGTAGCGTTGACGAGGCCGAGGAAGCCGCCGGCGTCGCCGACGGAGGTGTCGTCGGGGGCGAGGAGGAAGGCGAGGCCGCCGCCGATGGAGGAGGGATTGAGGTTGACGATGGAGAAGGAGAAGAAGGTGGAGAAGGGGAGGGGGACACGGGTGGCAGGGTGGCGGAGGCGGACGGGCTCGGCGTAGAGGGCGCGGCCGGCGCCGGAGTTGGGGACGGGGAGGTCGCGGGAGAGGCGGAAGCTACCGTTCTTAAGGTGCGCGTCCCCCAACAGCTTGAGGTTCCCCAGTGTGAGCGTCCGGAAGTTGAAGACCACCGCCTCGCCGCCACCCACCTGCAACACAGACACGAGAAGCACCGCCGCAAGAAGAGGAACCAGTCGGCAACTCCAGAACGAAAGCACTCGCTGCCGCTGTTGCTGCTGTTGTCGTGGCATTGTTGGTGAATTGGTGTATCATAGCTTCATTCGAGAGCTAGGAAAGAAAAAGGAGCCGGAGAGCTCGAGAGGCTTGGAACGAGGGTTATGTTAAGGAAACCTTGGGATGAAAGGTTGGTGGAGTGGAAGGGGAGTCTTTTGTGGCAGTGTGTTGGTGGAGAAAAGGGAGGGCGAAAGGAGCGCGGTGGTGGGGAACGGGGGGCGGGTGTGTGGTGTGGGGAAGGAAAAGAAGGGGTGCGGTGGAATCCAAGGCCGGGCGGGGGGTGATGGGGACAAGTGGCTGCACGGGACGACAAGCGTCCCACTTGCAACGGTAAACTTTGGGCTGAAGGCGAGTGGGTGAGGGAGGTGGGCGGTCAAGGCTAATTTAATGATACAAAAGATCATGCGATGCCGATCGTGTGCGGCGAATCAAAGTCCGGGGGTCGCGTGTTGCGTGTTGCGTGTGCGTCATGCGGAAACAGTTTTAGCTGGTGAGATGTGGAGCGTCCTATCGTCCTTGGGGAGTGCGACCCGAGACGGAATAAACAAATCCTAAGATTAGCAATCAACAGGGACGCCCAACGGTTGGTCGCCGCCCAGAACATGGAAGGACTTGACCATGGCGACCAAAAACTACAGTATATGGGTTGGAGTAGACCACCGTCCACTCTCTCTCTCTCTCTCCCGGCAAGCTTCAACCCGTGAAGCGGTGGCCGGTTCGAGGCGGGGAGGAGGAAAAGCCTGGGAGTGTCATTCAGCACTCCTTTATTATACGTGTCTCCTCCGTCCGTAGCGTCGTTTACTGCTTCATCCCCTCTGCCAAAGTGTACCAAAGCATCAGATGAATGTAAGGAAGAAGAAAAAGAAAGAAAAATCCACTTTACAAAGGGAAAAGGTGGCGGGCACGGACGAGAATCTTTCCGGAGAGTGGCAGGCGTAGGGTGGATGGTACGCATTGCGTGCCCCTCTCCAGATCCCCTCTGCCTTTTGCCTTTGCCTTTCCATCCAATAATGCAGTGGCTCTTCCTTGCATGTATAAATAAAAATGATAGCAATGGCAAGAGCCTTGCATCCCCCGACTGTGGCGTGTGCTCTCTTTGTGTGCAATCCACGACTTACGTTGTGTGTGTCAGCAGCAGGATACCATCATAATTTGTGTGTGTAAAGGTTCGGGGCTGCCGAAAGGACCTTGCTTGATCGATCGATCGAAGCCGTAACGGAGCTCCCACCACCGCAATCATTTACGGTGTGATGCTGCGTGGGGCCAGGTTTGGATGAGCGACCATGTCACCCCTTGAAAGTTTTCAGGGCGATCCACCACTGCAAGAGAATTACAAGAAACTTCTCTCGATAGATAGCACATGCGGGTCATCCTCCTCCATGTGGGTGGAGCACAGGCGGTCAGGACACGGGTTTTACTGTCTTCCTTTCTGCGCCTGGGGGGGGCCATCGCATTGTCCGCCGTCCGAGCACGAGAGGAGGACCGCCACATTTGGAAGTATTAGTAGTACGGGCCCATAGCCTGCCCAAAAGATTAGAATCACTGTCACTGGGAACTAGAGGTGGATTAGCACTAAAAAAATGGCTCATACGGTATTAAAGATCATTGGTAGGAATCCGCATGACATCGCTGACGAGCTTCAAACTGTAATATGCATTTCTCTGGGCCATGTGGGTAGCATTACTACTAGTACAACTTACACGGAGCAGGACGCAGTCTGTGATATGCACATGGAGTATCAGTGCAGAGCTTTAAAATCCTCGGCCCACTCGAGCTGCTGGTGAGTCGAGCAAGTCGAGCCTTCAAATGGCCAAATTGTTTATACCTGGCCAGTATAGCATGGCAGTTAAAGCACTTGACCAAAAAAACTGGGGTTACATCTTTTGAGTAATAATAATGGCCAATTTGGATGCAAAATGACCAACCTCCACATGAAGCATAGAGGAAACGAGGCATCCCCGATTCAGCAAATAAAGCATCTCCAATCTCCATCCAGCAGTAGTTGACTTTAGTGAACTGCCACAAGCTAAGGCACTACAAGGACAAAATGAGGCAGCAAAAAGTGTGTGTTTACTTTGGTCAACGTGAACAAGTAGGCTAATCAGTTCCAATATTTAACAATCGGCATGTGATCCAAGACAATGTTCTCACCTATCCAAAAGTCATGTGGTCAGTAGGAAATATCAAGTAAATTAAACCTGTCACAAGTTCTAGTCATCTGAGACAAAATATCGTTCTCCATGCAAGTATCATCGGCAGCTATACTTGACTAATTCTGCAGTTTTCTTTAAACCTGTTCTTGTGTTTGAAGAATAGCTGGCAGTGGAGCAGTAATTTCCACTCTTCGATAGCAATCACATCAAGAAATATGCACAAAAGCCAAAAGGCAAAAGTTTTCATGGTTTTTTCAGCGTAAAAAGTGCATTATTCGTAGCATCTGTGATTATATCAGAAAATGAATCAGGGTGTAACAACCATCGACAAGACTTCCTACATACCTTCCTTTCACTATAAGGGAAACCTTATCTGATTGATCTTAATTTAGTGCCATGTAATCGACAAAACTACATGAAACAAACATCTTAAATGGATGGGAGAAGACAACAATTTACATGACTGAGTAATCTCCGGAGCGAAACACAAATAGAATTTATTCCCAGGTTTATCATCAAGAGAGCTTCAAACTAAATCTGGCTGATGAAAATTTCTTCAGAATTATCAGAGTTTTAAAAACTTCAGGCAAGAGAAAAGATTTATTGAATTAAGGATAACACATGATCATCAATCCTTAATTATGAATGAAGGCATTCCATATGTTAAGCACAGCATCTCAGGAATCTCAAACAAAACAAACTTATATTTAGTGATTTCCCTAAAGATATCATAAGCTAACATCCAAAGTGCAACAAACAAAAGAATATCATTTCTTAAACCAAAAAAGATATTCAACAGATCAGGAACATCTAGCCATGAGCAACCCGGTTTAGAACTGTGGAATTACAGTGTTGCAGCTGCACCTTACAGAGCCATGCCACCTTGTTGGACACAGTTCATGCAGGTCATCGAGCCCACCATGCAAAGCTGTGCCTAACCTATGCATGTAACAACTCTGGTTCGACAAAATACTAGCAGTTTGTCAGGGTGCGGTGCACCTAGATGAGTCATAGTAAAACATCATGTGTCTGAGCCAGTCTCTACACAAGGTACCTAAATATGCACTTTGCATTGTGCCATATATTATTTTCCTGTAGTTCGTGCCCATGCCAACCCTAAACCAGCATAACATTCCTTCCCACGTGCATCCAAGATCTTATATTATATGGTGCTCAAAGTTCCTGCCATGCTACTCATGCTAAAGGATGTGTTACTCGAACCTTGTAACTTACATTCAAACTTCCAAATGCCTCAGGGAAGCACAAAATTAACCTCATTTGTTCAACCTCTTAAAAAAGTGAGAACAGTAGTAATATGAAGAAAAGAGCTAAAAATTGAGAAAAAGTAGTAAAACCTCTTAAAATATAACCACCTTGAGGCAAATTCCCACCTTACCCACTAAACAAGCAACTTAGTTGCTTTAAACAGTACATGAGAGCTATTAACTACTTATACAAAAAAGAAACAAACCCAATTTGGAAGAGACCATATTCTTGTTCTTTGTGATGCTTCAACATACACCAACAGAGAACAAAAGTGGCAGTTATACTTAATAAGAGTCTCCATTAAGTGAAACTGATTTAGTGAGATAGCACAATGATCTTTAAATGATAGCACAAAAAGCTTACAGCTGCATTGGTGGAATCGTCAATTGTCATATATAACTCTTACAATAGATCAGATAGCTACCAAGAAATTATTTTTTTCCCCAAAATTCTGGAAACAATACTAATGAAGTTATGGCATCTAATCTTTGCTAAACTCTGAAAAGATTGCCATATTATTATCTTCATAAAGAACATCTATCCAGTACAGCACAAAGGGCTTTGGGAGAAAGATAATGACAAACCACTTAAAACCAAACTCTCAACAAAATCAGCAAAAGCATTATCCACAAATGTCGCATATGAACCAAAAGAAATTTCACCACCAAGGAACTCATGCTGTCATGACATGGCAATTATAAATGAAAGCAACCCAGAAAATCTCAGAAATTACATGAATCCTAGATGATATTAACAAGCAAATGTGACACCTATATATATATATATATATATATATATATATATATATATATATATATATATATATATATATATATATATATATATATATATATATATA